ATGCCATCAACACAATACAATTTTGTTGATAACAATAATGTTGACCAATCTATAAAATGATGGTTATTACTAATCATTTGTAGCCCAAGCTTTATAGTGATAATGATAATAAAAATCACTTGCTGTACACCTTCTGTGCTCCAAGTTTTGTGTTATACATTCTCTCCAATTTTCTTGAAAACCTACTCAGGTTACTCTACTCTATGCATATAAAAATTGAAGTTGGGTGAAAAGGTCAATGATTATATGAAAACGTGGCTATATGACTGGTATGCATAGCAGCACAAAATTCTAACTCAAGTGTCCTCCCTTGAAGTTGTAATTTTCCTCCATTGATCTCATGGTTTGCTGTCTTTAAAACTCAATTTCCTGTTGCAATGTCATAATATATCATAAGATAATTAAACATATATATATATATATATATATATATATATATTATACCAATATTGCATAAAACTTTCATAATATAACTTAACTGATGAATGAATTATTTAATTCTTTTTAATATGCAATGCAATGGACCCTTGACATCCATTAGTTATGTATAAGAACTAAACATAATAGTTATCTTCCTTGATTGAATATTATTTTGTACATGCTGGAACAGAGGTTAAGAAAAATTAAAGTTGGAAGGTAAACAATTTAAGAGACAGCATGTGAGGGAGTGAAGCTCAGTGTAATAAATTTCAATGTCCTTCTTTAAAATACTATGCTGTCAAAGATAGAGAAGAGAGTGTTCCCTAGCAAAGTATGGAGACAAGAAGCACAAAGACAATTATATAGACAAGACCAGTGTAGAATATAGTGTTGGAGGATGTAAATAAGGGATTATTTAACTACTATTTGGTTAGTGTTATATCATGTGTTCTGTATAGTATTTTACATGACATTTTGTTCAATATTCACAACTCTAAACATGGGATACTATTCAGAGAATAACAACTCTTGTACAAATTTATTTGCACTTGAGAAGTTATAATGGCTCAAAAGGACTGAAAGGTAAGTTCTTGCTCAGGTAGTATTATTGAACCAATAAACAGGCAGGGCACTTGTCTTCCATGTGGTCATTCAGGGATCCAAAGCAAGGTTTTTCATTTTAAAAATATGATGAACTATCCCATCCTTGGTCTATACCCAAAGGACTTAAAAACAGCATATTACAAGGAACAGCAACATCAATGTTTATTGCAGCAAAATTCACTATAGCTAAACTATGAAACCAAGCTAGGTGACCTTCAGAAGATGAATGGATAAAGAAAATGTAGTATATATAGACAATGGAATATTACTCAGCAATAAAAGAGAATAAAGTCATGGCATTTGCAGGTAAATGAATGGAGTTGGAGAATATAATGCTAAGTGAAGTTAGCCAATACCAAAACACCAAATGCCAAACACTTTCTCTGATATAAGGAGGCTGATTTATAGTGAGTTGGGAGGGGGAGCATGGGAAGATTAGATGAACTCTAGATAGGGCAAAGGGGAGGTAGGGGAAGGATGGGGCAAGGCGGGTAAAAAAGATAGTGAAATGAGATGGACATCATTACCCTAAGTCATGTATGAAAACATGAATGGTGTGAGTATACTTGTACACAACCAGAAATATGAAAAATTGTGCTCTATATGTGTAATATGAATTGTAATGCATTCTGCTGTCATATAACAAAATAAAAAAAATAAAATATTTAAAAAATCACTCTTGCAGATGGAAATGCATATTATGCTGAGTCTATTATTACACATTGTATATGTGTATTAAATTACCTTAATAGGCCCCATAAAGATGGAGCATCAATAACAAATTACAAAAGAAAAATCTAGTTGTATTGTCTTACAGTTTGGGAAGTTAGAAGTCTCAAATGGATCTTACTAGGCTAAATTCAAGGTATGGAAAGGGCTCTATTCTTTGTTGGAGGCTCTGGGTGAGAATCAGTTTCCCTGTCTTTTTCAGTTTATACAATTTTCCTTCATTTTTACATTTATTATTCTTTCTGTCTTCAAAGGTAGAAATGGCTAGAATCATTCTGACATTTATTGCTCTGACCTCTTCTTCAATTTTTAAGGACTCTTGCAGTTATTTTGACAGGGGCTCTTCTGCTTTAAGCACTGTTTTTTTTTTTTTTTTTTTTTTTTGAGCCTGCTGGATAATCCAGGATAATCTCCCCCATCCTAAAGTCAGCTGATTAATCAGCTTAATGTTATCTACAACTTTGATTACCCCTTGCCATATAATCTAAAATAGTGGCAGAGTTCATAATTTAGAATACAGACATCTTTGGAAGGTCACTGTTCTACTGTTCTGCTATGGTACTGAACCCTACTGTATTCTAAGCAGTCTATTGTTGTCACTCTTTTATTTTGTCCCTAAAAAGAGGTAAAGTTTTACTGCCTTCAGAAAAACTGAATCTATGCTTCAAAGGAAATGTAAAATACAGGTGGAGAGGAAGAATGAGAGGAGTACTTGGGTGGAAGAAATATTTGAAGAAATTGAAAAGAAAAAGTCACTGTGCAGCAATAGGTAGGGTATGGAGTGATCAAGGATCCAGAATTCTTTTTTTTTTTTTTTATGCCTGAGGCTGCTGCATTACTGGGATTATTTTTTTTCTTTTTTTTTATTGGTTGTTCAAAACATTACAAAGCTCATGATATATTATCTTTCATACATTTGACTCAAGTGGGTTACTCTGAAGACAAAGGAATTGAAGAAAATGCACAGGCTCCAGAAGTTGGTTCTGTTGGTATAGTCAGGGAAACAGAAATAAAAAGAAAAATATCATTTTTCAAAAAGTTTACAAGCCAGGTGTAGTGGCATATGCCTGTAATTGCAGCTTCTTAGAGGGCTGGGGCAGGAGGATTGCAAGTTTGACATAGTCAGGAAATTTAGAAAGACCCTGACTCAAAATAAAAATAAAAAGGATGTTGCTCAGTAGCACAGCACTTGTGCAACTAGCACAAGAAAAAGACCTGGGATTTGATTCCGTGTGTGTGTGTGTGTGTGTGTGTGTGTGTGTGTGTGTGCACGCACACACACACACACAAATTACATGCAATATAAAATAAATTGACCTTTTGTTTTTTAAATTTGGAAAATATTATGATAAGAATATCTACCATACACTGACATCTTTTCTTTATGAAGCTCATTAAAGATATCAGTCTGCAAAGAAATCATTAGTGTTCCAAGTTTAAAGACACAGAACTAAGATCAAAGTCAGTTGGTCTTAAATTTGAGTAAACAAAACTAGTAGATATTAGACTTGAGCTTTTTGACCAAAAATATATGAAACTAAGTACTTATACTAGATAGTCAGGATAAATATTGGGAACTTCCATAAGTTTTCTCAGTCTATTAGAGTCTAAAATTCAAAATCTCTTGTGGGGTCACATCAAACCTAGCTGGGGGTATTTAGCACAATTAGTCCCTTAGATTTTTTTTTCTTAGATTGTTGATTGACAAGATCCAATAATAAATAGCATATAGAATTAAAAATATGGGCATTTTAAAGCTGAATACTTGAATATATTTGCAAAACATAGTAGGAGAGCTCACTTTATAGTTCTGCAATGGTCTCATTTGTATTTTGAATGGCAGGTACCCTCCCAACATTTCTGCAGGTCAGTGTGAGATTCTTCTACCTGTCCTAAATACAGAAAGGAATAAATTACATTTGCAGTCCTGTGGAAATAATTATATTTTCAAGGTCACAATCAATCATCATAAACTCAGTACCTTCCCCTTGGGAGAAGAATGATTCAAATCCCTGATGCATTGCTTTTGTCATTTGAAAAAAAAATGTCCCAAATGATATAGCCAGTTATGAAGCAATCTGCATGGTGAAAATTCATTGTATTCTTTTGAGTCCCTACTTTGAGTTTTTGTTGCAGAAAAAAAAAACCCAGCAATAATGGCAATGACACTAATATATATAATTATTATTTTTCTGCTTTTAATTATATAGAAACCTTATTTATATTCAGTTTCTTTTTTAGTTCTGGTAATAGTCTACTTTGATTCAGAGCAATAATTGTCATCATTTTTTTAATAATAGGCATAGATAGTGAGGAGGTTTAGAACATTCTCCAATATTGGTCTTTCAATAAGACAAGAGCTGAAAATCAAACCCAGTACCCAGGGGCAGGAAGAAACTCCTATGTTGGTGAATATTTATTATTTAATCCTGCCTAGAAAGTATAAAAAAGATGTTGTCTTTCCAAATAGTTTTGTAAAAAGCCATGGGATAGAGACTCGTCAGCTTAGAGCAGGTTACAATCCATTTTTAAAAAGTTACTGAGATTCTGACTGTCAGGGCTAGAACAGGTATCCACTCACACCTAGAGCCAGAGTGTACAGCTGTGCCAAGGATTTAAAGCAAGGAGAAGTACATTTTAATGGCATTAGTAGAAAAGGGAATGAATGATGAGCAGGCACCAAGCAATAGATAGATTGGCTCCATAGAAACCTAGAGAAAAATAGTTATTGAGTGCTTACTATATGCTAAGATAACATTATAACTGTTTTCCATAAAATAATTCAGTTAAATATTACAACAATCTTATCATCATAGCATTTGAATATATTCTCTCAAATTCCACAAGAGATGCTGCCTAGCTCATGTGTTCTAAGTATCTGAACCAAGTATCTGATATATCTAATACTTAGATATATCTAATATATATCTAAATTATATATATATATATATTAGATCTATCTATCTAAATATTATATATATTAGATCTATATCTAATATATAGATATATCTAAAATATATAATAATTTAGATATATTAAAAATATATCTAAATATACAGGGAATACACTAGCTATTGAGCAAACCCAAGAGAATAATATTGTAGGTAAGATGAGGAGACATCTGAACACAGAGTAGCAGAGGAGGTAGGAGAGAAAGAGGAAGAAAGAGAGACCTGGAGCAATCCAGTTTTTCTTGATAAAGTGTAGATTGAATACATGGTCTTTCTCTCTTGTTGAGAAGCACTTACATTTTGATGGTATCCAAAAACCTGGCCAATAAATCTCTTTAACATGGCTCAGAATTATCCTTCAGCACTCTCTCTTCTTCTTCATTCAATAGAGGTTTGTCTTGGTGCATTAAAGGTTACTATAATAAAATACCATGGACCATAGTTTATAAATAACAAAAAATTCTTTTTCATAGTTCGCAAGTCCAGAAAGTCCAAAACAAGGCATAGTGACAGGGACTTACTGGCTCACAGATCATACCTTCTTCTTGTGTCCTCACATAGTAGAAGGGCAAGGGTCCTCTTTTAGAAGTATTAATTTCATTCATTGCTCCACTCCCTTGACCTACTCTCCTTCCAAAGCCCTCATCTCCTAATACATAAATGCCAGGGAAACTGTATCAACATAGGAATTTACTGGCATGCTGTTTTATTCTGAATAATGCTTTTTCCCCCTTTTCCATTGCATTTTTTTGAATGAGAGAGGTGCAATGGACTGAACGTCTGTGTCCTTCCAAAGTTCATATGTGGAAAACTTAATCCCCAGATGATGCATTTAACATTGAGTTTCGTTCACTCCAAGCTCTCATGACTGGGGTCCATCACCTAGGCTTGTGCCCCCTTGGCTGCTTTCTCACACCTGATTCCCCAGCCAGCTTCTACTCATTTTTTGCATCTTAAATACAAAGTCCCTAATGGGCTTTAAATTAAATTCCCTATCTCTAAGCTCTCCAAGCCCCTTGAATCTGCCCACAAGCTCAACTCACACGTTATTCTGAGTCCTTGGTTAATGTTTGCCTTTGCTGATATACAAAAACCTCTATGAGGAGTATTTTCCAGTTTCTGGCTGCAGGATTGCAGGTGTTAGTTCCAGAATTTCGTGTTCCCCCCTCTTTCCCTTCTATTTCTAGTTCTAATAGCTTCATTAGTGGCAAATCTATGTATCCAAGTAATCCCTCTCCTCCCTCCACAAACACAGACACCAACACATACCTCACCTCCAAACAGCACTTCTCAGTTAAGAAGGAGCAGGGGAACAGTGATGTGGGCTGAAGGTCTGGGGGAGCCTCTGCTCCTGCCTCCTGTGGATTCCCCTATCAGGAGGGAAGACCCAGCAGTACTAGCAAAGCCCTTGTCAATTGCGTACAGCAACATGGGCTGATTAACCCACACTAAGACGAAGCAGGTGCTTGAGTGAAGAACCGAGTGGTGGCAACAATAAATAAAAACAAAGAAGAATATGTCTAGTCCTTTCTACCTCTAAAGATCTTTCTCCAGCTTTACCCACCAAAAACACAGGAAAAAGAGCAAGGCAGATAGAAAGCATTCTGGTCTTTATTTCAGGACACTGTGTAGTTCTGAATATCACCCATTTTTTTTTCTTTTTCCTCAACAATCTCTTGACTGAAGGAACTGAAAGGCTCTAAATGTTCCTTTCCTCCCCAAATCCATATATTGAAACCTTAATACTAAAGTGATGATTTTCAAAGATGCAGGTTTTAGGAGGTAATTGGGTTATAAGGGTGGAGCCCTCAGGAATGGAATTAGAGCCACAAGCTGTCCACGAAGCTAGCTAGATTTCTCTCTGCTGTGTGAGAATCGAATGAGAAATCAGTAATTTTCAAACAGTAAGAGAACCCTCACCAGAACATAACCGTGCCAGCACCCTGACCTCAGAGTCCAGCCTCCATGACACTAAGAAATAAGTTTATGTTGATTCTAAGCTACCCCATTTATGTTATTTTGTTATCATAGTGCAAAAGACAGGAGCTATATTGTGAAGCCCAATAATCCTGTAGATAAGCATGTATAACTTTGATTTATAGCTAAGCATGGACCCAGAATCCCGTAATACAGAATTGCCTCAAGGTTTGGAGAAGGTGGTGTGGTTTGGAACATACTCATAGTCAAGATGATGTTGAGGCCCATGGAAACGTGTGTGGGAGAGGAGAATTGGGAGGAGTTTCTGATTGGATTTGGGCTTCCAGTAGAGAATTCAGTAGGTTGAGGAAGTGGGAACAGTTTGGTTTCAGACATTATCAAAAAGTGAGGTCGATTTAATAACTGGGTATCAAAATAGATTTTATGTAGGAAGCAGAGGAGTAAAATGGAATTGGAATTGCTATACTAAAGTAGCAGCGATCGCCTGAAGGCAATTTTCATCAGGAGAAGAGGATGCCCAGTTCCTGAGTTTCACATTCGCCTGTCATGGTAGTGGTCATGAAGACCCTTGCCTATATCTTAGACACACACAGTGGAGGGCTACAGTTTTCGCCCAGTCTGAGTATTATTTATGTTCTATTGTGAATGCTGCACTCTGTGTTTACAGGGCTGTTTTTCACTTCCTCCATTGTTCAGATATAAATGACTAATCTCCCTGATCTTAAATCTTGTTTTCTCTCCCTTCTCGGACCTCGGGGTGCAATCTTACCACTGTAATGTGGTAAGAACTTACCCTTCAGTACTAGAGGGAAAGGAGTAAAATGGAATAAGTCCAGACAAAGCAATCCCCTTGACAGACCACTAAACCCTGAGCATGCCTCAGGAAGAACACAGAGAGGAGATGTCCTACTTCCCTCCATACAAAAGAAATTTGGCCTCTTATTATTCTCTGAACATGGAAGAGGGGAGTGGAAGATATCTCACTGCTCCACCACTTTTAAGGCACTTACTGAATGTGTTCCAGCAAATGTCTCAGAGTCTGGTCCTGCCTCCCTTAGGGAAAGCCAGTGAAAGAATAGAGACAGGTCTGGCTCAAAATGGGAAATGGCATCTTTTAGTAATACTTGACTCAGAATATGATAGAAAGGATGAGCCCCTAAAATACTTGTTGACTTTATGAAATTAAAAAACTGAAAGAAAGAAAAAGTTTTAGTGTATTGCTATCTGTGACAGAAGAACATCCTGTTTAAGGACATGTGCTTTGGAGACAGAAAACACAGAATCGATTTCTACTTCCATTATCAACTTTCAGGTCATATTGGACAAGTGACTGATAGTCATTTTCAAATGTCTGCTCATAAGATTGTTGAAAGAACTAAATAAAACAGGATATGTGGTTTTAAGAATAGTTCCTGACATGCATTGAGTACATGTTCAGTGGTACTCATGGGCAGACTTATGGAAAACACCAGCAGGAAGAGTTTCTTAATAGGGATGGCATATTTAGCCAAAGGTTTCTATATTTTTATTGAGATGTAATTTTCTGGGCATGTGCCTTAGTATCTAAAATTTAGAGCTGTACAAATAGAATTAGATAACTATTTGTCTCTCTTATTAATAGTAAGGCTATCGTGATAATTTTATGCATTATCCCATTCTATTTAGCATGCATGTTTTGAATGCCTTCCCTCTATCGAAAAAGATGAATGAAACTGGAAATTAAAGATGAAAACATGGTCTCTAGCCTTATGTAACTCTCAGACATCATTTGTATTTAGTATTGGTACTTTGATATATAATTCACATTATTAACATATAATTGAAGATGTTTTAGGAAACATCTGATGTCTATAGAGTGGTCAGTGAGAATGATGTGCTGACAAAGTTAGTACTGGTAAAGAGCACTGGAAAGAAAAAAGAAAATTAAGGTGGTGTTTTCTGCATAGAAGATTAGATGATTTATTACCCATGTTATGAGCATACTAAGAGAAGTGCTTTGTTAGCAGTTTTAAAAGAAAGAGCCTTTATTGCAGTATTGAAGTATATTCGTGTCTTACTTAGGATCAAGACATCACATTTATCCATCTCTGAATGTTTTTGCCAATCTCGAAATTGTAAGGAACATTCAATTATTGAAAATTTATATTTTGCATAAGGCTCAAAACAAATCATCTCAAAACAAATCATCTTCAGGGATAGGTGATTCCAATTTTTACTAAAAATATCATCAGAATGTTCTCTTGTCCTTTGGTTTCCAAGATTTTTGTTTGCTTATCCAATCAAAATTTAATATTTTGATGACTAAAGTAAATTGATGTCTTACAAGGCAATCTTTTTTTAATTTATTTTTGGTAACATCTGTTAAAGAGACAGCATAACAGTTTGAAAATAGCAAAAATGCCACAAACTTATGGTTAGAAATACAAGTTCAAACTTTTCTCTACCAATAACTTATTAAATTAACTTGGTCAAGTCACTTAATCTCTCTGATCTAAGTTTCCTAAAATGTAAAGAAGAAAAGGATTAATTAAATTTCTCTCATAAGAAAATTGTAAAAGCTGAAACATCCAGGTGTTCTGAATATGAGAATTTTTCATAAGTTAGCAAAAGGCATTTAACTTCATGATACAAAGTCCAAATGTTTTGGGTACGCTGTGTTGTCAACAACTCATCTGGATAAAGGATATATGCAAGCTTCTGACTATTTGCTGCTGTTGGTAGATTGAAATCAATACAGCATTTAAACTTTATTGATTTTTATCTCAGATTTAAGGGCTACCTGTAAATAAAATACATTGAAACTGAGCTGAAAATATATAATCTTACACTGCACAAAGATGTTCAGACTAAGTCTGATTTAGAGATTATGTTTAGTGAAGATATAAAAGTTTGTGTTTCATCTGTACCTCATGTTAAGTATCTATTTCTTAAATTATGAAAATAGTGTGAACACTAACTTCCATCTACCAAAGACTCACTTTACAGTAGAAGCTGTTTCTAAATCATCTTTAATTTTAAGAATAACCTTGCAATATAGGTATCACTCGTTTATTTTTATAGATAAATGAGTTAAAAAGATAATATGTGGTTGGTAATGGTTTGACTCGATCTCTGAACCCAGGTTAGTGGATCTAAAATTTTCTTCAACATTCATGGAACATACTTCCTCTTTACCATAGTTTACTTGAGGAAGCAGGGAAGGGGTTTTGTCTTGAAAGATATTCCCCCTCCTCACTGATTAGTCAAGTCACTGAGGCCCCCCTCACATGCTCTCAGGAGCCCCTTCCCTTGAATATGGCCAGTGAGTAAGAGAATGCGAGTGAGGCGCAGTGATTCTGAGGATGGTCTGGGAGAAGCCTGGCCACACCTCTGAGGGCTTTCTTGGAATGCTTCCTTGAAGAGAATGTTCCTCCCCTTGATCGTTGTCTTTCTAGCTGGATGGTCTGTCCCCGAGCATATCCACTGCCAAGTTACCAGTTGAGATCATGACCACCCTGATTCCTGCCAATGCCAAACTGATGAAGTCCTAGATTCCTCAACTCTTTTTCAAAAAAAAAAAAAAAAATAGAAGTGTGCATGATTCCTTCTCACAGAAACAAGGTCCCTGTCTGCAAGATGCTCCTCATGGAGTGGACCAAGACCCAGACTTATTGACAGACAATTTAGAATGGAGATGAGGAAGATTCTGAGAAAGACTTCAGGTAGAGAGTGCAGTACATGTGTGCCTGTTAGCTAAGAGAGCTTGTGGACTTTGTGCAAAAACAAGTAGTTTCCTGTGCATAAAGCTCAGCATGGGAATGGGGAGAGAGGTGCAAGACGAGCTGAGGTGAGAAGGCAAGTGGAGGGAGTACTGCAAAGACTTTATATACTTAAGGAGAAGCAAAAAAAAAAAAAAAAGGAAGAAGAAAGAAAGAAAATCAATAACCATATAAAGGAACACAACACTACATTTAATAGGGAAAGTTTTGTTAAACTCCAAAAATGTTCTGGGTTTGAGTTCAAAAGAATTTTCTCAATCCAGAGACACTAAGGTTAATTCTTTGGGATACAAAGCTGATAAACATCATTCTTCTTTCTTTGGCTCTAACAAGAAAAGGGGCAGTATTAAGTGAAATCAAATTTTAAAAACTGTTCAGAGAATAATATTCTAGTTACTTTGCAAAGGTATGAGTGAATCAGCATAGATATTTACAGAGTTTATAGTTCAAATAAAGCAAATACTAGGAAGCAGTCAGAGAGTATGGGAAAATCATGTGTGTAAATAATTTCCTTATATGAAAACATCCAAAATTAACTTCATGCACATGTATTTAGCCTTAGCACTTCTCTACGCTCCTTACACCAATAAATTTTCAACAATTTATAGTATATGTAATATAGGTATTATTTAATTTATGTTTGCGCTCCTTTTGAGGACCAAGAAACTGAAGTATAACAAACACAAGTAAACTGTTCAGTGTTTTGCAGAATATCATTAACTGGTGGAACCTGAATTCAAACTCATTTTAATTCTAAACTTTTCTTTTAATCACTAATTATGCTATATCAGGTTGCTTCTGATCATGGTTTTCAATTGCAAATTTTCTAGTGCCCTCCCTGCTAGATGAGTGGGCTTGGTGTGGAGCTCAGAGATTGCAGTTTAATTATGCAAGTGATTGTGATGGGAGCTGTAACTGGACCATATTTAAGAAAATCCTTCTAAACCACAGATTGGCCATTTGCAGAAATGCAAATTCATTGTTATTGTTTCTGATGACATTTGTCAATATAGGGAAAATCATATGTTCAGAGATGTACACTGAATTTGGGGTTCTGAAAAGCCTCCTGGCCTCCTTCTATTCTCCACAAGGCATTCATGCACCTATAGGAGCTTCTAGAAATCCAGGTCATGAGGACAGTTGGTTGTCTACTTCACGAAGGAATTCTTTCTTCTTTCTCTATGCCATTATCAAGAGGGGAATATGGCCAATTCTTTTCTATTCTAGTCTGTTGCTAAAATCTTCTAAATCAACTTCCTTCTTAAAATCCTGTTTTATTTTCTTAATCATATATTTCCAATTCCAAGATATTTTAAAAGCACAGCAGACACATCTATAACTTGCAATATGACAACTATTCTGTTAAAACAATTCATAAACAGGGTTTCAAGAAGAAAAATGATGAAGCTGCTTATTGCAAAAATTTTCATTCAAAGCAATTCTCACATGGAACATCCTTCTATAAAAACATCACAAACGTGTATATGTTAATTAGTGTGACACTTTATTTGACATCACCAATAGCTATTTCCATGTTTGCACCTTCTTTTTGATCCCATCTGTCTGTAGACTGTAATTTTCTATGCAGTTCAGGGAATGCTGCCCTATCACTCACCCTTGGAGAATGGTGGAGGTGCATACAGATGGCTTCTCCCCAGGACAAAGCAAATCTACTTCTCTTTTGGTGGAGAACCTGAATTCTGCTCTTATATGAGGAGTTAATTTTTACTCTGAATTCCACACTATAGACAGAACAGAGAGTGACTCAGGGTGAAGTGGATAAGCGAGTAGAGACATTTTTAGAAAGCTGTTGAACATAACAACAACACATATAAGGGTTATTTGCAATCTCTCTTCCATAAAGGCTCAAATTAATGACATTGCTGTGGGTGTGTTGGAAAACAATGGCCTGGCTTTCTTTTGCTACATTCTTTGTCTTTCTTCCCTTCCTTTTCCTTTCCTTCCCTTCCTTCCCCAATCTCTTCTCTTCTGTTGCTCTATTTCTCATTTTTTCCTTTGAGGTTTCCTTGAATATGATATTAATTTTCACTTATTCCATGTTTAAGAAATAAGGAAAAGAAGCATTTGTTAATTGTGTCCTAAGGAACCATAGTTTACAATCCACTATTATATTCTTATACCACTTTCCACAGGAGAGTTAGGCAACTTTGCCAAGTTATTGATCTACTGACCAATTCATTCATTCAATAGAATTGATTGAGCATTTTCTAGGTGCTTCTAGGAACTGTATTGGGTTACTCCACCTTTAAATCATAGAATTAGGATTTGCATGCAGTTTCATTGGATTACCAAGTCTAAATTCTAATGCATTTCAGGGTGAAAACAGCAGGAAAAGTTTCTTGATATCAGTTATTATTTATTTAAGTGTGGAATATAGTTCCAACATTTCTCTTTTTTTTTTTTCAAACAAAAGCATTCAATTTTAATCTTGGTACCCAGGCTTATTGAAGGTAAGATTTTTAAAGTGCAAATTACAGAAAATCAAGTAAGCTTAAACAGAGTTTAAATCCTTGCCACTTATAACTAAGAAGCCCCGGAGACACTTCTTCCTTTGGGAATGGGGTGCCTAGGTACTCAGGCTATTCTAATGCATAGGGGTACCATCACTCCTCTCTCCCTCTCTCCCTCCCTCTTTCTTTCCCCACCTCACGCTCTTCTTCCTTCTTTCTTCTTTTTTTTTTTTTCTTTTCAATGTTACTACCTGTGAGTTGACTAGACTGCTCAGATTTATTATGGTAAATTTAAGAAACTCATTGAAATATATATATATATATATATATATATATATATATATATATATATATATACATCCTTTTTTCCTTTTTATTGTGGTATTATAATCATACAAAACAGTGGGATTTGTTGTTATATATTCATACATGCACAAAATAAAACAGTGTAATTTGATCAACTTCACTCCCCAGTAGTTCCCCTTTCCTTCCCCTCCATCCCCCATCTCCTTCTTCTATTCTTCTGGTCTCCCTTCTATTTTAATGAGATCCCTCCCTATCTGTTTCATCTTTGTTTTCTCTCTAGCTTCCATATAGGAGAAAAAACACATGCCCCTTGGTTTTGTGAGTCTGACTTTTTTCACGTAGCATGCTATTCTCCTGTTCCAGCAAATAACATAATTTCATTCTTCTTTATGGCTGAATAAAACTCCACCATGTATGTATATCATATTTTCTTAAAAGATTTTCCTATTTTAATGGTACTAACAGGATTCTGACATTGAACCTCATTTGGCTAACTTATATCACATCCTTACACCTTTAAAGACACAAAAATTTAAACAAACAACATGATGTTTTTATCAGCTAGGCTTGGTCACTGTCTTCTCCTCAAAGGTGAGAAATGAAGCCTCACCTGAACTACATTATTCAACAAATATATATCAAACACCTGTCATGTGTCAGACTTCTACCACGTGTTGAAAATGCATTTGTGAAGCTACTTCTTTTAAGAGAAGGCTATCAGCCAGTGTACAGACTAAATCTTAATGATCATTTGAAGAAAAGATAAAAGATTCTGGTCAGTGAAAAAGTGAACCGTGTTTACTGCAGGCAGAGTGAAGCACATTTACAAAGAGTGCTCATGTTACAGTCATAAGAAGCTCTATGCAACCAAACTCGCCTTTGTCACGGATGGAAACTCAGGCTCAGAGAGATCAAGTACATCAACAAGCACCTGCAGCCTCTGTGATTGTATCCCTGACACCACACTTTTGATCCAGAAATCTCATCTCTGAAGGAAGGTGGAGCTTTTCTTCAGTGTTTCTTCACCCACTGTCACATCTGACATCTACTTATTCATGTACATGGTATGGAGTCAATTTTTCCCCTTTTCTCAGAAGGAATAAAAATTTCAGTCCCTTTTGTTTCCTCTATTACTATAAGTGATTTCTGAGCACCAAAATCCTTTGGAAATACTATGTAGGTTCTACTAATTCTCTAAAATGTTCAGGGATTTGAATACATCTTGAGCCAAAGAAGCAAAATCCCTGTTTAGTATTTTCACTCAAACTAAAATTCAGCAAAATATCCTATCGCAAAAAGCCTCTGTCTGGATTCGTCTCTACTAGACTCATTTTCTGGAGAAAAATTCCAAACACAGACTGTTATTAACCCAACCTGTAATCCCTCCCATTTCTCATGCACTTCCTGTTTGATGTTTGTTTACTTGATAAAACCATGCAGGGAAAGTATTCCAGTTTGTTAACTCTCATTCACTGCCTGTTGGGAAAATCCTCTGTGTATTTTAATGATAAGAGCCATTTCCTTTACATGTTTATTATAGGGGTCTCATTATTTGCTTTCTCTTGGACTTTGTTACTCTAAAGCACTGTAGAATTTCTATGATAGATTTGCATGCCTGGAAAGATTTGCTAAATCCATAGATCATGTACATGAAGTCCCAAGCTGGGACAATCTCCCACTCCTGCCCCTTCTCCTCTAACCCTTTCTAAGGGAAATCTGCTTTGGGAGAGTCCACTCTGTTGGAGGAATGGCAGAGCAACATGCAGCAGGAGCTCCAAGGGAATCACTGTGCCTTTCAACAGAATCCCTGGTATTCAACTTCAAGACCTGTTGCTTTTTGCCTTGTGGTCCATGGCTGCCGTAAAACAGTGGAGGTAACAAGCTCTTATTGTGCTTTTCTGATCTTGCCTTTGCTTAACTGAAAACTAATTCTATCACCAAAATCTTGTATTGTTTTTAAATGTCTTCAAACTTTTGCCCATATTGGTTCTTTTGTTCATTACTCCCTCTCCATTTGCCTATCTAGTGTCCTGGGTTTCATTGTTGTTGTTGTTGTTGTTATTATTATTATAAAAACAAACAAACAAACAAAAAATCTTTACATATCTCCTACTCTAGGAAATCTTCCTTGATAATATTTCCTCTTCAAATATGCATGATGATTAAAAATGATTGAGTATATTAAAAAGCCTTATTCCATTGTATTATAAACAATATAAAAGCATGGTAGAAACTGATTATTATCACAACAGAAAACCCAGTTCCTAATGACTTTCAGGTGAATTCTGCCAAATATTCATGGATTTGATGATAACTTTTGTTTACGATTATTTATAAGTGTTACTTCATTGCTAAAAATAGACAATGGTACAAGACAGGAAAATTATAGGTCAATATCACTTGCAAAATTTCAAATAAAATATTGTTGAACAAAATACATTAGTATGTAAAAAGTCATCAAAATAATTTATCAAAAATAACATTTATTCTGGGACTAAAAGAGTGGTTTCACACAAGAAACATATTTTATCATTAATTTTAGACATTAGGAGAAAAATAATATAATGAAATTCAACATCAATTATAATAAAATATTTTATAAAACTGAAATTAGAATGAAGTTCCCTTAATCTTATTTAAAGTATATCCATTCTGTCTTCTTGAAAAATAAAGTATAGAAAACATCAATATATATAATTTCACTTATAAATTAAAACTTATTTTTCAAAAGTATAGAAAATATCATTCTTTATGGTAAGCAATTTAATAGCATTCTCCTACCTCCCAGTATTGATAACAAGAAAAATTTCACTATCATTACATCTGATGAGCATTATCTTTATAATACCAAAAATTATAGAAATATAGGTAAGTAAATAAAAAGAAGAAAACAAATCTGTCACTATTTATAGATGTCTTCCATAAAAATATAATTCTTGAATACCTATAAATAAAACAATAAATTTAGTTTTATTTTAAGTAGGTAAGAAAAGCAGTTGAGATAAAATTTCATACTAAAATCAATCTTATTTCCAAAGAACTGAAATAGAAATATAGAAAAAGAAGATAATATTTATACTAGCAACAAAATTTAAGTTTGTAGTAATAAATTTCACAAAATATACATACTATATTTATGGGAAGAATACATGACTCTGATAATGCACATAAAGGAATGTCAAAATAAATGGAAAGAAATACCATATGCATGTCTGAGAAGGTTCAACATCATGCCAGTGTTATTACAAAGTGATTGATGGGTACAGCGTAATTCTGATGAAAGTCCCATTAGTTCTTCCTTAGAAATTTAATGAACTTGTTCTTAAATACACGTGAAAGAGATAAAGGCCCACAATCGCTAGAAGAAATAGTATAAGATGTGCTGAAAACACTCTCTACCAGATATTAAAACATATTTAAAGTTTGGTTATGTAAGATTGTGCAGTGTTAGTATAGACATGGACAAATAGATCAATTGAATAAAGCAGAATTTTTAAAAAATAAAATCCACTACTATGCTAAAATTGTTTCATGAGGGATAACACTGCAGATCAGAGAAAAGGAAAAATTGTTTGGCATGTGACAGTTACATAATTGTTTATCCTTTAAGAAAAAATATAAATAGATCTCTATTATATACCACATCTAAGAGAGTCAAAAAAGGAAAGACTAAAACGAGAAAGAAATAATTCAAAACTTTTAAAGAATATAGAAGACCCCCATTATAGCTAGTAGTTTCAATAGAAACAAAACCTGTTCAGCATAAAAATAAAGATTGTTTTTAAGTCTATTAAAATTAAGACCTCATGTTTATCAAAAAATGACCCTAAGAAATCTTCAATTTATTTAACTGCACAGATGTCTACCCAGAATATATTGTAACAAACAAGAATGCACATACACATACACTCAAAAACAATGGAGAAAAACCCATTTGACCTTGCTGAAAAGTTTGTAAGGCAAGAACATTTCATAGAAACACAGTAGACAAAAACTTAAAATTAAAAAGATGCATGATTGTCATAGAAAAACAAATGAGACCATGATAAGTGCTTCTTTTTCGCCTTTGGATAGATTAGCAAAATATAAGGAGTGATGACCCTAACAAAGTACCAGTGAAGCTTTGAATAAAGAAAATTTACCTGATGCTTAGGGTTAAGTGGCACATCCACTTTGGAAAACTCTCCAAAACATCTCTTAAAAAATAAGCATAAACACATCCTACTATCTGGCATCTCCATTTGGCTGCACAGTTTAGAATAGGCCCTAGAGAAATGCATGCTTATGGGCCAAGGACACATGTCAAGGAAGGCCCAGCAATGCCTGTAGCAGTAAATTACTCCATAAGAAGGTGGGCTCAGAGCCTTCTGCTCTGTTGCTATGTGTCTTGACTTATATTTATGTTGCATGTTTTCCATCAAATTATCAAATACTGCACTATTTAAAAATATTAAAATGTAAAAAAACGTCATGACATACAAAGGGCATAAATAACATTCTAAGGGACTTCAGAAGAGAACATCACTATAATAGTGTTTTCAAGATCATGAGAGCAAGGAAGTTTATATATGTATGTTAGTATTTTCAACAGGCCCTGAAGGAAGTATTATTCATTATTTATACCTTGCCCTGTTTTTCAAAGGAGTTAAAATTGCTTATAAAAATTTTTATGAAACAAAATTAAAAAAAAACAAGGTACAGAAATGAGTGTTTAAAAAAATAATGAGTAAAAACAAAAGCAGGCAAGGCCTAATACCATATCAGAATTTATAGTATTCACCTAAGTTTTATTTATGTGGGTGAATGCAAATGAAGACAACCGGTACTATCAGTAACTATATTAATAGTAATAAGTCAGTTAAAGGGGAAAACGGGGACTTTCTTTTGTTGTTGCTTATTGGCTTGTACTTTGCTTCTTTCTGGCACTACGTTTTTAAAGGAGGTATTGTGAAGAGTGGCAATGAAGACCATTCTGAGTAACTATAACAGAACCCAGGTGACAACCAAAAGTGAGAAAATAGGGAAACACAGATGTAATCAGGAATCAAAGAGGGATTCCCTCTGACTTCACTGTGGATGCTTGATGAACATCAAGGGTACCAGGGGACACTGGGATCCGACTGAAAGGAACAGACAGGGAATGAGTTCTCATGTAGTCCCTGGGCCAGAAGCATCGGTACTTCCAGGGAACTTATAAGAAATGCTACCTCCTGCCAACTCCCCAGTCCTACTGAATCTGAAACCCCATGGATGTGGTCTAGGTTAGCTGTTTTAACAAACCCTCCAGATGGTTCTAATGTGTAGCTAATGGTTGAGAACTTCAAGGCCATGAAATTTGGCTTCTAGACCATATGTAATAGAGGGCCAGTGAGGTATTACTGTCTAATCCTAACTCTCCTTTAAGTTCTCATCCCCCTGTATCCCAAGGTGCAAGGAGAATGTCCTGCTTCTGATACCAAGAAAGGGAACAATGAGCCAAAGTAGATACCCTGGCTTCTATTTTGAGATTGCATCCCAATCTCAGAAGAAAACTCTAGAGCATAATTTTCCAAAATCAGCATTTTAAATTTTTTTCAGCTGAGTAGCTCTTTGGTTTTGGGGCATTTCTCATAGTAGACTCACTTACTTTCTGTCTAGCTTTCCACTGTTTCAGTTACCCATGGTCAGCAGCAGTCCAAAAATAAAGTACAATGCAGCAAGATATTTTGAAAGAAAAAGAGTACATTTACATAAATTTTATTATGATATAATACTATAATTACACTATTTTGTTATTAGTTATTGTGCTAATCTCATACTATACTTAATTCATAAACTTTATGATACATATGTATGCATATATGTGTATAAAAATAATGGAGAGAGAGTTGAGTAATATCTGTGGTTTCAGGCATCACTGGTGGTCTAGAAATATGTTCCCCAAGAATAAAGGGGAGACTATTGTATAGGCAGCCCTCTGCCCTGATATAACAGAGTTCTCTAATTCTCATTAACAATCCACTTTATATCAAAGTTAATTTAATGCTGGCTTTTAGTATTGTTGTTGTTGACAGAGAAAGAAGCACTTCCCCATAAAGGCAAATATGAAATTTTGAAAGAAATATTAATCATGTGGTGTTTAAAACGAAAAAAAAAAAATCAGTAGTCCTCTTTCCTGTCTAAATCTCGAGAGTACTGTAAAACCCTTATCCGTGCAGCAGCCCTGCAAGGAAGAAATGCACAGTAATTCCCAGGCAGCATCCTCACAGAATTGAAGTTTGGTCATTCTAGCATCCTCACAGGTTTCTGAAACAACAAGCAAAACCAGAAACAGCTTGAAAAAAAAAATGTTGAGGAGGAATATGTCATCAAACTAAACTTTGAGAATTTGTACACAGAGAGCCTGACAATTTTCTGTATTTAAGATTATTGATAGAAAAAATGTATGCAGGACATCAGTGTCTGGAAAAGGATTGTACATGGTACCCAGAAGACAATATGCATTGGAAGCAACACCAGGCAATGAAAATCAGAACCAAGATATTTTTGTAAACATTTCCTATTAGCTTTTCCCAAATATTTAAGATCAATGTTTCACAACTGGGCTACTATTAATATAGGGAGTAGAAAAATTCTTTCTTGCAGAGGGTGGGTCCAAATAGAACGTTTATCTCTTTCCACTCTGTACAATTCTGGCATTACAATCCCCTCCCCCAAGAATGTTAGCATCATGAGCAAAAACAACAGCAACAAAATAAATAAACAATCCCTGACTATCTAGGGCTCCTTGCTGGGAAGCACCACCCTATTTGCAAACCACTAATTTTAGCTCTATCAGTATTCTTTTCAATAAGTAAATGTGTGGGAACTAGTCCATGAGATTCACTCAATGTTT